GAGGATTCCTCACGGGATACGGAGTGTATTGTCCACCTGGGTATCATTAAGGGCACGCCGGAGAAATGGTCTCAATTGTGATTGGAGCATAATTAACCCCAGCATACGACTAGAAGTGCGACATGGAAAGGGCGTGGGGAGGACTTGGATCTTGTTCTATCTTACTTCACACCTCTAGTAAAAATAACCCTTTTCCCACTCGCAGCCGGTCAGCGTGCCCCCGGCATCCTTGTCAGATATCATCCGGGGGAACATCTCATCTGTCCACGGCTCTATACCCATCCTGCCGTTATATTCCCTATGTTTGCTATGCATGAAGCATGAGGAATAAAATCTACGCTAAAATTCGGTAATTAGAGCGCACAAGTCTTGCGGTTCAACAACTACGATATATATGCGACAGGAAGACTGCGGAAGCGATCAGGGGCAGCGACAACGAACTGGATACCAATGACAAAACTGGGGATCCTGCAGAGGGAACATCCGAGCCAGGTGATGCAACAGGGATGGAGAATATATCTGATGTCATGGATGTGATTACGATGTAGGACGAATAGTGTCGCAGTAGTGGCGACGAAGGAGAGACGGAAGAAGCAGCAGATTTAATTTTCAACCCATCGATACTGTAACGGCATAGACTACAGAGAATGTCAGCAGAGAGGAGCTCACGATGACTCTACGGTAGTGCACCAATCTCAATAGCGATGAGAGACGGGACGGCCGACCGGACTTGCGTAGCGGTGGACAGACCAACAGGTGGACCGTCGCTGCAGGCGAACGTTGCGTAGGGGACGGGGTGCCAGCCCATTGTAACTGACTGCGAAATGGGGCCACAGGTATCCTCCCTTCAACCCATCCTGATTACTATTTGATGTCAGCATAGCCAATTGCGAGGACGGGCGAGAGTGGTGATCAATGCCAAGGAGTATTCAATGATTATAATGTGATACTAAATTAAGTTGGCGCGCCGAACGAGCCGAACGTCGGGGGCGCATCAGGTGTGCGTCTGCGGATGAATACAGCGCTCTACACATCCCGCTTGCTTCTTACTGTATCATCATCTGGTCGCAGGGCGGTCATTGCGTCGACAGTCTGCATGACATTACGCAATTTCTTGCTGTACAGACCGAGCGGCAAGCGGGCATCGTAGACAGTCGCGGATCCGTCCTTGAATCCGTTACTGGCTAGTACCGTGACAGCTGTAGTAGCTGGTCTTTCTACTAATGTCTGAGCAACCACCGCCGACACCACCTGGTTTATCCAGTCTCTTCTATTCTTTTACCCGCGCGTTTTCCTTATCCTCACCACCAAGACATCAGACCAAATCCTTCGCCGCTTCGCTCGACTTTGATGCCGGTATCAACACATCCGCTGCATGGACGGAACACCGCGAGCGCGAAAGCATGCTATCGTTCACTGCTGTACCACCATCATTATCAGACGACGAGGGGGACGGTGACGAAGATGACGCTGCGAACCTCGACAACCGAAGTGCACGAGTTCTGCACAAATTCGAAGGGAAACCGGAGTTTCGCGAACTGTCGGTCGATGCGGGCGACGAGATCGAGATAGTGCGCGAGGATGCTGGCGATGGATGGAGTCTAGTAAGGAACACTGTCGGGGAGTTGGGCCTGCTTCCGCAAACATACTACACAGTGCGTGCCCGTTTTCGTGCTCCTAGTCTTCATTTCAGGGGGTATCTGGATATCTGTCTGGGGGACGCAGTTTGTCCACCCTTACCTCACAAACCGGGGTCTCGTAATGCAGGGGCGCACGTTCTCGCGTAAAGCCCATGACCGAGGACATTCAATCGTCATCGATCCGACAGCTTCGCTCAATCATACCAGCCTGCGCTTAGCAGGCTCTGTGCTGTAGCGACTGTACCACACCTTCTACTCCTAATAATACGCTACCAGAGCACTCTAGTCCCTACTTCCAGCCCAACACTTATTGTCTTTCTAGTTCATTGTTGACTTCGTTAATGCGCCAGCCACGATCCCCCGTTTGAGCCGCTTCGTCCGGAGGCGTGAGGCATCCAATCAATCGCTCACCCCTCGCGGTTCACCACGCGGCTCTCGTTATGATCCTATCCAAGATCCAGGACCAATCGTCGTACAGACGACGGGCGAGCGCATGTTAGCTGCATTCCCCAGCTTCCGACACAGTTTGCTCGGCGGCAAGGCGCTGAATCGTTTCTCGAGCTTCGTAACGAGTGGTGCGGAGGCTTACGTCCTCAAAGGCGCGTCAACCGCCGAAACATCGCGATCCATCAGTATTCACGGGCGCGCTTCGAGCGATGACAGTGACCCTGGGGACGAGGAAGAGCCCGACGACGGCGCCAAGACATGTTGGCGAGGATCGAACGAGGCCGACCGTCATTTCGTCGACGCAGGGCCAAGTTGGCGTGCTAAGGTGCCTCCCTTCCGTGTCCTCGTCCATTCTCCCGCCAAGCGCTCTTCCTCTCTATCCGGCCCCTTTACCATCTACAGTGTGACCTCCCTCTTCCACCTGCCATCGGCTGGGGACGAAGAGCAACAGGATGCAGGGTCGGATGCTCATGCGAAGCGCATCACCGTACAGCGCCGCTTCTCGCACTTCGTAGTGCTCCACACGGCCCTTACGCGGCGCCTGCCAGGAATAGCGCTCCCGCCATTGCCCGAGAAACAGTATGCGGGGCGATTTAATGACGATTTCGTGGAAGCACGGCGCGGGGACCTCGAGCGGTATCTCGCGAAGGTCGTGCGACATCCCGTTGCACGGTACGCCGAGATACTGACGTTCTTCCTCGGCTGTGAGAGCGACTTAGTGCGACATGTTTCTGAGATGGAAATATGGCAAAGTAGAGCTGACACGCTGATTGTAGGAGTGGAAACGTCAGCTTCCGCAGCATCTTTCGCTTCCTCCGGCCGGACCGTCCTTTTATGCCAACGTCTTCCATCCGGAGTTCAATCTTGATGCAGAGGAGACGGGAGAAATAGCGGATAGGTTCCAGGCGCACACAAAGGAAGTTGGAAAAGGCACTCAAGTTCTCCGTAATGTATTTGGGGGTGCACGGCAGGCTCGGGTCGGTGCGTCCTTCGAGGATCAGCTTTTATTCAGTCGATTCACTGGGTCATAGAGATGTCTAAGGCGGATCGTATGCTCTCTTATTCGTTGTTATCTCTCGTCACTGGAAAGCTGGTGGCATCGGTCCATGATGAGTATGACGAAGATGAGGAAGAAACCGAGGACCCTGCGGAGGCGGCAAGGAGGAAGCTGAAGAAGGGCAAAGGCGTCCTCAATGAAGAAGGCGCATGGTGCTGGCGCGAAGGGTGCAAGCGTAGGGCCCGCACCTTGATTATCGTTCTTTCAGATCTGACGACTCGCAGAATGTCTTAGACTGACAAAAGCACTCGTAAAGACGGGGGAGACACTTCAAAGCGTAGCCGATTTATACGATGATCATGTAACGGCTGTATCTTGTGCGTGGGAAGTCGGATGCTCATGTCACCGACCTGGTAGGCACGAAGGACACAGCTACACACTCATGACATGTTGAAGGTCGTGGCTCACCCATTCTCTATCTACGCGGTTCGTCCCTTTGTGTTGCTTTCTATCTCTCGTCTTACGCAAGGTAGCCTGTCGTGGACACTCACAGGAACGCGCTTACGCGATATGCAGAAGCTTCTCAGCGAGAACAGGTCCGTCGCTGTGTTCATGCCTGCATTTGCGATTGTTCAGCGATCAAAGCAGGCCGGAGAAGACGTCGCGGCTCGGTGTGAGACGGTCCTCAACACAACGATGGCAGAGATGGAGATCTACCACACCCAGAAGGTTGAAGACTTTACGAACATTGCCATCGAGCATCTGGATGGTGAAATTGAATTTTACGAGCAGGTCAGGGGGCCTAACTTTTTCAGGCCAAGTCTTCTCACTTTGTATTCTCTCCGTCAGGTCCTGTCGCGCCTTCGCGCCGCTCGCCGCACCTTTGACCCTCCCACCTACGACTATCTCAGTAAAGGTGCGCGCCAGCCCTCCATCTACGAACGTGAACTCGAGAAACCGCGACTGGACCCCGAGCCGCTTCCCCAGCCATGTCCACATGTGTACGACTCGACGCCGATGCGGCCCGTCAGCCATGCCATTCAGAAGGGCGTAAGCCTGTTCCTTGGTAGTGGGGTAGGACGTACGAGCGTCTTTGGCCAGTTTTGGTGATGAAGCTGTACGAACACAGATTCGTATAGGCTCACCTTGCGCGATCCTTCTACGCGCATCGGGATCGGGATCCGTTGTGTCTATATGATGACCACAAGACGACCTATGACATGACCAACGGACACGTTTTTGTACGAGGCGGACATACATGGACTCCGCGCATACTTTGGATTGTTATGCAGGTCTTGGTATTCAAGGTCTCGGAATTTCACATTTTAGCGCCGTCCTCGATGTGATTGGAGATGAGGAAAGGGATCAGAGAGGAACAGAAGGGCTCCGAACGAAGGATATTATTGCTCGAGTGCCTGAAAAGATAAGCAGGGGCACCCTCCAGTCAGTCCACAGGGTTATATTGACGTCTCTCTTTGGAGTCCTGGACGAGGGGAAGAGGTGCGAAGTGGGGTCGATACACCCCGTTCCCTGTGCTCAATATAGATGTTGCGGCTGCATGAGCCTCCTTGTCAATTACCCTGAGTTCCTGTCTGTATCCTCTGTTTAAGATGTCAAAGAGTATCACAGCGACGAGTCAGAAACCAGACGCATTTGGCTGATAGAATAATTATATGAAATTAATGAGGCAGGAGGGGGCGCGGCAAGAGCAAGAGGGAATGCACTAATCGGTGGCGGTACGATGAGTTGATGGAATGCACGCGTCGCGCCGCGTCGGTTTCTCACCCATGGAACCTTGCGACTGAGAGCCCGCCAACACGGCCTGGCCCGATGCTACCTTGTATGTCCTGACCATGAACGAAGCATTCCCTGTCCGGAGCTTAGAGCGCGTGCTAAAAGGACAGCTCATAAAAACTCGACGAGTGGGAGAGTCGAACTCCCAACCTCTAGCAACGATTGGGAAACCATTTCCCGGACCGGAAACTAGCGCGCTAACCATTGCGCCAACCCGCCGTTGAGGTTAGTGGGCCAATAAATATGTGGAGGTCACTGTAGGTTAACAAACACATGTCACCACCCACTCGGGCTTCGTGCATCACAGTGACTACGAAGCTTGCGTCGACCGAGTCTGATGTGCCTTCTTATCGATCCCTGCGCGGCTCCCCCGTGGATACCAACCAAGTATCCTCAAACTTCGGCATGTCCACCGGGTGTACGTCGCACGGGGCCAACATCATGCCTCACTCCAACCGTGTTCGTTCTACCGGGCCAAGAGCGTGTTGACATCGAGCTGGCCCTTCTAGCTGTTGAACGGCACTGATGCGTTGCACTCGGGCTCGACGTCCGGTAGCCAGATATACCCGCCGACACGTCGGACTATCAGTACATCCCATGCGATCCTCGCGCACGGCCGATCCCGTCCTTGGCCCTGTCACTCTTGGCCGACTTTATGCCCTGCTTCGGGTTGCTTGGTCAACTCGCCCGACAGCTACGGCGACCACGCACGTTCCGCAAGCCAACATTATGACGGCTACCGTCACCTCCGGCCCCAGCTGGACGCTTTCCTCGATGTCTACGTATCCAAGTTTACCCAAGGGGCCTTACGGCTCGATGTTGAGCATTCACTGCGAGCGCCGGCGATAGTGTCGCACCTGCAGTCAGGTTGCTCCCATCTGAAAGGCAGCGGCCAGTTGAGTGCGTCGAGAGCACGCACGACTTCGCGGACCCCGCGCCCTCGTGCTCGCATAGTAGTATGGTCCAGCTCCCGACCATCGGAAGAGGCTACGGAGATGCATTCATGGCCTCGTAGCAGCAACACTACTACCACCATTACGCGCCCCGGTGTCGGCGCCGCCGCGTTCAGCGATATGGGCTGGGGCGCACACACCTCGGCCGAGCATGAGCGTGAGCTCCCTCAGCGGCATAATCCAGACGAGCTCGATCGCAGCACACACGCGTACGCAGCCAAGATGGACGTCCGCCACCTTGAGTGCCCATTTTGTCCTCTCCCCTGCGCCACCCGCGTACACATCCATCCGAGCCATCGCTGATGGTCCGCCCTCCGCCCTTTCCCTTGCCCATCACAGGCTCGTTCGAATTTGGCCTCCCGGTCTCGCTCGTGAACGGATACAGATACCTCACTACGCGCACGCACACACATGCCACACTCTTCGTCGCCCAGTCCTCCTTCGCCCTGGTTCGTCCAGCCTTCCTTCGCCTGCGCCGGCCGTGTCCACACCGCCTACCCCCTGTACTCCCTGCTGTCGCTTTTTGTTTATTAAGAACTCGTGCCACAGCTTAACGAGCTCATGGTGTCATCGTTTGACACGTCATCTAATTCCTCGATACCGGCTGCCTTCATTTCCTTGCCGCTTAACCCGAATTCTACACTCGTCCAATTAGCATTCCCAGGCTCTCAAGTCTCAGTCCCCTCGGTACATGAAGCTCGCGCTCATGTCCCCGTTGTACTCTGCACGGCTTTTTTGACACGATACAGCGACTCTCGCCACTCAGTGCTGGTGAGTATCATCCTGTGCTCTACGGTGACCAGCCTCTACCCCGCACGCCTGATCGTTTGTTAACGTGCGTGTCGCATTGAGTCCCCCGAGACCTTGCCCAAGACCGTCCACGTTACGCATGCCCACTTGAACCCGCTTTTTAAGTTGCTCGCTTCCGATTGCCTATTACCGCCCTTCCACTCACGCGAACTGTCACCAGCATATTATATTTCCTTTTATTCAGTCATGTCTGTGCAGTGAAGCCACCTTGTACATGAACCAATACCCCAATACAATGGGTCCTGTTTGAGTTTGAGTCGTTTTTGTGTTGCTGCGACTAATCGAATTCCCTGAGAAGCAATCGGCCTTGCGTGTTACGTAGATTTCCTAATCTTACGAGGGCAGAGAATCTTACAAGGCAGCCGAGACAACGTCACAACCCGCTCGCAAGTGCTCTTAAACAGGTGCCAGTGGGACCGAGATGCCGTCTATACTAGTTCAGCCTCTTTGTGATATCGCCTCATGAAACTGCGGATTGAGGACAAAATCCAGCAAAAGATTCCGAAATCATTATCTTAGGACGCTGACACGACTATATATCTCATAAAAGGACGAGGATTCAGCCCGCGGGACGGGTGACTAGGATAATTAATGATGAGGTCTAATACGATTAAATTTATAAGCACCACAGTATACGATGGACATTAGCATACAGCCAAGCAGTATGAAGCAAGACAGTGAACAGAGAAGGCAGGACCGCAAGAAAAGCTGACACATCCGGGAAGGAAGGGAACGTTTAAAATAATACACGACTGGAAATTAGGCCAAGCCCTCAGGACGGAAGGAGGGGGGATACTTCAGAATTAGATCGCTGATACTTGTAGTTTCTATGGCATTCGCATGGTGTCCTCTGAGGACGCCGCCTGTGTCTGCAGTGGCTTGAGAAACTACCTTCGCACAAGACGCAAAGATAATCTCCTCGATATGAGGTTGGAGAGCAGTGAGCATGGAATCTTCGATCATGGCGCTCGAAGGAGGGAGGTGAACAAGGAGCTGAATCTCCTTGACGCGCGCCTCCTTCACGTCGCACGCCATTTCTTGGACAGCTTTGGATACTGCAGACACCTGTACGTAGGGTCAGCTGTGGTATACGAAAAAGAAAAAGCAATATAATGCACTTCAGTTTTCAAGGTTAGTTTCTCCTCCCGGAGTTGCCGAATCTCGGCATCCTTTTCGGCGGTGCAATCAAGCGTTTGGCATCGTAAGCGATCAACTAAGCGCTTGATATGAACTCCGGTGGCCGAAGTTCGAATCGTTTCCTTAATGTCGTTTAGCTTGCTGTGACAAGACAAGAGCGATGAGCGGATGTGTGAAGCCCGCTCGAGGCTCACACCGTGTGAGCTGAAATCGAAACAGTCAGCTATAAGGGCCGGGAAACTTGAAGGTTAAGCACCCTTACTTGGAAGTTGAATGCTCTGCTTCGATAGCGTCCCGGCTATTTGGCGAAGTTCGGCCATAGGAACCGATGTGTATAATGTAGTCGTTGCTACTGCTACAGTCAGCGTGGAGGTTATCACGCCGTGTCGCGAAAAGGTGGGATTATGTCACCTACTCTCCTATCGACGAGGCCAACATCGTCTGGACTTCCCGTCTGTCCCTAATCGACGATCTGTGGTCTGACTTGCCGTTAAGAGCTTTTGAACTCCAAACATATTCTTTCATGTAGCTCATTTCGGAACAGGGCATAGTGCCTTCATTGCCATAGCCAGCAGTGCCAGCGACCCGGCCGTGGCTCCATCCATTCGACTCTCCAGGGGAGCCGGGTCTCGGGGTGGCCCATGACGGCTCGAATGTACTATCTGCACCGTTAAATGAACTAAGGCGACGTCGATATCCTTGAAGAGAATAATGACGGCTTGGTCGTGAGTCTCGAATGCTTAAGCCTGTACCCGTTGACACACGTCGAAAGCTGGGGTGGTACGGACGAATAGCAATGTTCCAATCACGATCGCCAGGGTGGGATTGAATACAGCTTTGTCCGAACTTACAGCCCCTGCCGAGTACTGTTCCGTCATCGGCATACATCTATAAACAAGAAAGTTAGTGGCATTAACTACTAGTGCTGAAAGTAATTGGACACGTCAACATACACGACACCGTTCACGGCGGCGGAACATGCTTCAGATCGTATGTTCACGGTAGATAGGCTCTAAGAATCCTTTCCCGTCCACAGAAAAGGTGGGAGAAGATGGGACCCTAGAGTCTCAGACAGCGATGATGGTGCCGAAAGCAAGATGGTGGTAAGACACGAAGAGCGCCACAGAAAGACGTTCGAATTATTCCCCACACGATCGAGTCTGATCGCCGTCAATGCGAATGCCGACGCGCTGACGTACCATTATTCAAGCAAAGAAAGCTGCTACGACCACGGTGGGCGCTGATTTGAGTGCAATTCCTAGTTACAGGGAGTCCACGACCAGTGTATCTGAGCTCCAGGAGAAATTGATAAACCTCCCCAAGTTCAATTCAAGTTGCCCCAGCGCTATATGTTGATACATGTGCATGAAGAGATAAGACGTAGATATACATAACAATACGGGAGGGAGCAACAAGGGGTCTGTAAACCTGTCACGACGTACGGCTTTTTGCAGTATCCGAGAAAAGATGTGTTTATTCGCCTGTCGAGCCTGCACGGACGCGCCCGCTGAGTGTGACGACACTGAGAGAGCTAGACAGCAGCGACAGGTCCGATACAGCGCGACGATGGCCACGGTGGTTTGGCGTTGCCTTATCGAGTCGGAGCGCAGTAGATGAAAGTGGAATCGAGTCGGCCGCGGAAATTGATGAGGCATCGGAGGAAGGGGAAGATGGGATAGATGGTTGAGAGGATGACGACGCGGACGACGCAGGTAGCGAATCCGTCAGCCCACTGGTGGAGTGTCTGTCTGGAAAATCAAATCCGAATTCTTGTTTGAACGGGCTGGCTCTCGACGCAAACTGGCCACCTGCGTAGTTCGATGAGTCTTCCGACAATGACTGCGCGTGCAGTAGCAAGCCGTGTGGGGTGAGAGGAGCGATATGATCGCAAGCTTCCATGCGCGGAAGGGACGCCTCCCCAGAGGGTTCCGCAGGCGGCCATCCAAAGGTGGCACTGGCAGGTGTCTCGAGGGGGAAGCTCGATATCGAGCTACTAGCGGAGGATGGTGGTTCGGTAATGAAGCTTGATGTACTACTTGCGGAAGACGGCGGCTGGAGGAGCCTCCCAGACCGTGCCTTACGCGCCTCGCTGCCGCGCCGCCGGGAGCGTGAACGCTTGTGACTGTCGACGAGCGCGAGTGGAGAAGGACGGTGTTTTGGTTTGTTGGGCCCACGCATCCTACGCTCTGCAGAGTAGATACAATCCAAGTGGCGGGATTCACAGCGATCGCATGGAATGGTCCCGTTGCACTGTGTTAAAGGCATTAGTCGGAGAAAGGAGTGGTGACTCAGGGCAACAGCGAACCTTTGCCTTGCGCT